GGGATGGGGGGGGGGGGGGGCGAGGGCTGTTCCTTCGCACACAGCAGGGCGGCGCTGCACTGCGACTGCTCCACACACTCGGTGCTACGCGTTGACTCGTACGCCTGGTATGGGAAAGAATAACTGTGTGCGTTTCGATCTCTGATGTTTCGAAAATCTAGCCCTGCAATGTTCATGAACATGTGAAATCGAAAGGATCTGACATATGCAGAACCCCAAAAAATTTGAAATTTTGAAAGATCATGTTCGACAGCAGACAGCAGGCAGACCAGCAGTAGTGGTAGTGTGTGTGCAACAAAGAGGTGAGGGGGCGCAACAACAGCAGTGCACCGATGATAACAATTTGAACGTTGCACAACACGAGAGCGATTTTACGAGAAGGTGCAAAACTTCACGGAGGGTAGATTTACCTTTGCAGCTGTTTGACGACGCTAACCGAGCTGACAGCAGTAAGGATTCGCGTACTACAGCACACAACAGTATTGTGGTATTGTTCCCGCTTGAACACTGACGGCGTCTCTTTCCACTGACTGGTGAACCAGCCGGTCGGCGCGGCAGTCCTGGGCATCGCTGGTGTACTGTACAGCACTTGTAAAGGTCCCTTTACTGTGTTGTGTGTTGTGATGTTGAAGGGAAATGTTTTTTTCGCTCGAAGACGCCAGCCCTCAACGCGGAGGAGTTGGTTGTCGTCAGCATAGGCATGGGAACGATTCCTAGTCCACAGGACACATGAGGATTCCCCGACGGGGCACTGCTGTGCAGGAGACTGGACGGGAGCCGTATGTGTGCGTGTGTCCGTGAAAAACAGAGCAATGCAACAGCGCACATCACATGCTGTACACGCTCGTAACACAACTCCATCATACGCGTCCACCACTTTTTGGATGATGCTTTTTTCTGGGAGACCATAAGCAACACACCTGCCTACACACTCTCTGGGACGAAAGCACGACGCATGAATGGCCTACACCGGTTGACGCAAAACACTACACGGCAGCAGGAACACACAGTAATCCTTTGTTTTCAAATGGAACCAGAAATATTCCAAAACTCGTGCGACCAACCACAACAACAACAGCAGGGTGGCCTCCAAACCACCACCCCTGAGTGATGTACCACCCAGGCCACCACCCAAAGGCGGCGGGAAACAAACGCATCCCCGTACGCATCAACCCACCCGAAGCGGTCGGTACCAACTTCAATCTTGCTTGGCTGCTGCCTTCGCCCCCGCCCAGATCACGGGGCCAATAAAACCAATTCAAATCCTCGCCTTCGCTTGCGTCTCGGCTACAATTTGACAGAGCTACTGCTGCTGTCAATAAACTATTTGTGATCTCGAAACGACAATCTCGAGTGTAGACACGTGGTGTGTCGAGGTGCCTTGCCACCACATCTACGTATCATTTCATACAGCAACCATACAGCGGGCTACTCCTACAGCAGCAAAAGCGCTCTATTTCAAAACATTCCTGATCTTCGCCTAAGACGATGGACCCTAAACTTTCCGTCCTCCTCCTCCCCCTCCTCCTCCTCCTGCATTTCCCTCCACTGCGCGTGCCTCGGCACACCGCCCGCCAAAAACGCCAGGCACACCGGCAACGTTCCCATCATCAAAGCTTGGACTGCTCCGGCTCCACCGTCACCACTCGGGTCGGCTTCCCCAGAGGCAGCAGCGGCATCGACCTCTTGAACTCGCTGTAGTCCTCCACGATCACCACCTCCCTTACGAACCGCCCGCCGCCGCCAATATCACCTCCACCACCACCACCCTCCTCCTCCTCCTCCTCCTCCTTCTCCGCCGCCGCGTCCACCCCCCCCGCTACCCCCCCTATCCGGTGTCTCCC